AAAGCGGGAGAATGGGGCGGGGTGATGGAAGGAGGGAGAATGGGCGAGGTGATGGAAGGAGGGAGAATGGGGCGGGGTGATGGAAAGCGGGAGAATGGGGCGGGGTGATGGAAGGAGGGAGAATGGGGCGGGGATGGAAAGCGGGAGAATGGGGCGGGTTGATGGAAAAAGCGAAGAATGGGGCGGGTGATGGAAAGCGGGAGAATGGGGCGGGGTGATGGAAAGAGGGAGAATGGGGCGGGGTGATGGAAAAGGGGAGAATGGGGAGGGGTGATAGAAAGCGGGAGAATTGGGCGGGGTGATGGAAAGCGGAGAATGGGGCGGGGTGATGGAAAGCGGGAGAATGGGGCGGGGTGATGGAAAGCGGGAGAATGGGGCGGGGTGATGGAAGGAGGGAGAATGGGGCGGGGTGATGGAAGGAGGGAGAATGGGGCGGAGTGATGGAAAGCGGGAGAATGGGGCGGAGTGATGGAAAGCGGGAGAATGGGGCGGGGTGATGGAAAGCGGGAGAATGGGGTGGGATGATGGAAAGCGAGAGAATGGGGCAAGGTGATGGAAGGAGGAAGAATGGGGAGGGTGATGGAAAGCGGGGGAATGGGGCGGGATGATGGGAAGCGGAAGAATGGGGCGGGGTGATGGAAAGCGGGAGAATGGGGCGGGGTGATGGAAAGCGGGAGAATGGGGCGGGGAGATGGAAAGCGGGAGAAAGGGGAGGGGTGATGGAAAGCGGGAGAATGGGGCGGGCTGATGGAAAGCGGGAGAATGGGGCGGGGTGATGGAAGGAGGGAGAATGGGGCGGGGTGATGGAAGGAGAGAGAAGGGGGCGGGGTGATGGAAAGTGGGAGAATGTGGCGGGGTGATGGAAAGCGGGAGAATGGGGTGGGATATGGGAAGCGGGAGAATGGGGCGGGGTGATAGGAAAGCGGGAGAATGGGGCGGGGTGATAGAAGGAGGGAGAATGGGGCGGTGGATGAAGGAGGGAGAATGGGGCGAGTGATGGAAAGCGGGAGAATGGGGCGGGGTGATGGAAGGAGGGAGAATGGGGCGGGATGATGGAAAGCGGGAGAATGGGGCGGGGTGATGGAAAGCGGGAGAATGGGGCGGGGTGATGGAAATCGGGAGAATGGGGCGGGGTGATGTAAAGCGGGGAGAATGGGGCGGGGTGATGGAAACGGGAGAATGGGGCGGGGTTGATGGAAGGAGGGAGAATGGGGCGGGGTGATAGAAAGCGGGAGAATGTGGCGGGGTGGATGGGAAAAGCGGGAGAAGGGGTGGGTTATGGGAAGCTGGTAGAACCAGGGCGGGGTGATGGAAAGTGGGAGAATGGGGCGGGGTGATGGAAGGAGGGAGAATGGGGCGAGGTGATGAAAGGAGGGAGAATGGGGCGGGGTGATGGAAAGGCGGGAGAATGGGGCGGGGTGATGGAAGGAGGGAGAATGTGGGCGGGGTGATGGAAAGCGGGAGAACTGGGGGGTTGATGAAAGCGGAAGAATGGGTCGGGTGATGGAAAGCGGGAGAATGGGGCGGGGTGATGGAAAGAGGGAGAATTGGGGCGGGGTGATGGACAAGGGGAGAATGGGGAGGGGTCATAGAAAGAGGGAGAATTGGGCGGGGTGATGGAAAGCGGAAGAATGGGGCGGGGTGATGGAAAGCGGGAGAATGGGCTGGGTGAGGAAATGCGGGAGAATCGGGCGCGGAGATGGGAAAGCGGGAGAATGGGGCGGTGGTGATGGAAAGAGGATAGAAAGGGCGGGGTGATGGAAAGCGGAGAATGGGGCGGGATGATGGAAAGGTGAGAATGGGGCGGGGTGATGGAAAGAGGGAGAATGGGGCGGGGGTGAGGAAAGCGGGAGAATGGGCGGGGTAATGGGAAAGCGGCGGAGAATGGGGCGGGGGTGATGGAAGGAGGGAGAATGGGGCGGGATGATGGAAAGCGGGAGAATGGGGCAGGGTGATGGAAAGCGGGAGAATGGGGCGGGGTGATGGAAAGCGGGAGATGGGGCGGGGTGATGGAAAATCGGGGAGAATGGGGCGGGGTGATGGAAAGCTGGGAGAATGGGGCGGGTTGATGGAAGGAGGGAGAATGGGGCGGGGTGATAGAAAGCGGGAGAAATGTGGCGGGGGTGATGGAAAGCGGGAGAATGGGGGTGGGGTTATGGGAAGCGGGAGAATGAGGGCGGGGTGATGGATAGCGGGAGAATGGGACGGGGTTATGGGAAAGAGGGAGAATGGGGAGTTGATGCTTTTATAGGGGAGTTGACGCTTTTATAGAAGAGCTTGATGCTCTTATAGGGGAGTTGACGCTCTTATAGAGATAGTTGACGCTTTTATAGGGGAGTTGACGCTCTTATAGGGGAGTTGATGCTCTTATATGAGAGTTGACGCTTTAAATGAGAGTTGACACTTTATGGGGGAGTTGACAGTTATATATGAGAGTTGACGCTTTTATATGGGAGTTGACGCTCTTATAGGAGAGTTGACGCTGTTGTAGGGGAGTTGACGCTCGTATAGCAGAGTTGACGCTCTTATAGGAGAGTTGACTCTCTTCTAGGGGAGTTGACGCTTTTGTATGAGAGTTGACGCTTTTATGGGGGATTTGACGCTCTTATAGGGGAGGTTGACGCTCTTATAGGAGGGTTGACACTTTTATAGGGGTGTTGACGCTCTTATAGGAAAGTTGACGCTCTTACAGGGGAGTTGACGCTCTTATAGGGGAGTTGACACTCTTATAGGGGAGTTGACGCTCTTTTAGGAGAGTTGATGCTATAATATGAGAGTTGACGCTTTTGTGGGGGAGTTGACGCTCATATAGGAGAGTTGACGCACTTATCGGAGAGCAGACGCTTTTATAGGGAGTTGACGCTTTACAGGGAAGTTGACGCTCTTATAGGGGAGTTGAACGTCTCTTATAGGAAAGTTGATGCTCTTACAGGAAAGTTGACGCTCTTATAGGAAAGTTGACGCTCTTATAGGAAAGTTGACGCTCTTATGGAGTTGATGCTCTTTTAGGGGAGTTGATGCTCTTATATGCGAGTTGACGCTTTTAAATGAGAGTTGACACTTTTATGGGGGAGTTGATGCTTTTATATCAGAGTTGACGCTTTTGTTGGGGAGTTGATGCTCTTATAGGGGAGTTGACGCTCTTATGGGGAGAGTTGACGCTCTTATATGAGAGTTGATGCTTTTATAGAGGAGTTGACGCTTTTATAAGGGAGTTGAATCTCTTATAGGGGAGTTGACGGTCTTGTTGGGGAGTTTGACACTCTTATAGGGGAGTTGACGCTCTTATAGGGGAGTTGACGCTCTTATAGGGGAGTTGACGCTCTTATAGGGGAGTTGACACTCTTATAGGGAAGTTGGCGCTCTTATAGGGGGAGTTGACGCTTTTATGTGAGAGTTGACGCTTTTATGTGGGAGTTGACGCTCTTATAGGAGAGTTGACGCTCTTATTGGAGAGCTGACACTTTTATAGGGAGTTGACGCTTTTATAGGGGAGTTGACTCTCTTATAGGGGAGTTGACGCTCTTATAGGGAAGTTTACGCTCTAATAGGGGAGTTGACGCTCTTATAGAAGAGCTTGACGCTCTTATATGATAGTTGACACTTTTGAATGGGAGTTGACACTTTTATATGAGAGTTAAAGATGTAAAGGGGAGAGTTGACGCTCTATAGGAGAGTTGACGCTCTTATAAAAGAGCTGACGCTATTGTAGGGGAGTTGACACTCTTATAGAGGAGGTTGACGCTCTTTATAGGGGAGTTGACGCTCTTATAGGGGAGTTGACACCCTTATAGGGGAGTTGACGCTCTTATAGGGGAGTTGACGCCTCTTATATGAGAGTTGACGCTTTTATTGGGGAGTTGACGCTTTTATAGGGGAGTTGACACTCGTTTTGGGGAGTTGACGCTCTTATAGGGGAGTTGACGCTCTTATAGGGGAGTTGACGCTCTTATAGGAAGTTGATGCTCTTGAAGGGGATTTGACGCCCCTTATAGGGGAGTTGGACGCTCGTATATGAGAGTAACACTTTTAAAGAGGAGTTGATGTGTTTATAGGGGAGTTGACGCTCATATAGGGGAGTTGATGCTTTTATATGAGAGTTGCCCCTTAAATGGGGGAGTTGACGCTCTTATAGGAGAGCTGGCGCTTTTATAGGGGAGTTGAAGCTCTTATAGGGAAGTTGACGCTCTTATATGGAAGTTAACGCTCTTATAGGGGCAGTTGACGCTCTTATATGAGAGTTGACGCCTTTAAAGGGGAGTTGACATGTTTATGGGAGAGTTGACGGTTTTATATGAGAGTGACGCTATTATAGGGGAGTTGACGCTCTTATAGGAGAGTTGACCGCTCTTTAATGAGAGCTGACGCCTTTATAGGGGAGTTGACGCTTTTATAGGGGAGTTGACGCTCTTATAGGGGAGTTGATGCTCTTATAGGGAAGTTGACGCTCTTATAGGGGAGTTGACGCTCTTATATGAGAGTTGACCGCTTTCCATTACCCCGCCCCATTCTCCCGCTTTCCATCACCCCGCCCCATTCTCCCCGCTTTCCATCACCCCGCCCCATTCTCCCACTTTCCATCACCCCGCCCCATTCTCCCGCTTTCCATCACCCCCGCCCCATTCTTCCTCTTTCCATCACCCCGCCCCTTTCTCCCGCTTTCCATCACCCCGCCCCATTCTCCCGCTTTCCATCACCCCGCCCCATTCTCCCGCTTTCCATCACCCCCCCCATTCTCCCGCTTTCCATCACCCCCGCCCATTCTCCCACTTTCAATCACCCCCGCCCCTTTCTTCCTCTTTCCATCACCCTGCCCCATTCTCCCGCTTTCCATCACCCCGCCCCATTCTCCCGCTTTCCATCACCCCGCCCCACTCTCCCGCTTTCCATCACCCGGCCCCATTCTCCCGCTTTCCATCACCCCACCCCATTCTCCCGCTTTCCATCACCCCGCCCATTCTCCGTTTTCCATCATCCCCGCCCCATTCTCCCGCGTTCCATCACCCCGCCCCATTCTCCCGCTTTCCATCACCTTGCCCCATGCTTCCGCTTTCCATCCCACCCCGCCCCTTCTCCCGCTTTCCACCACCCTGCCCCATTCTCCCGCTTTCCATCACCCCGCCCCATTCTCCCGCTTTCCATCACCCCGCCCCATTCTCCTGCTTTCCATCAGCCTGCCCCATTCTCCCGCTTTCCATCACCCCGCCCCATTCTCCTGCTTTTCCATCACCCCACCCCATTCTCCCGCTTTCCATCACCATGCCCCATTCTCCCGCTTTCCATCACCCGCCCCATTCTCCCGCTTTCCATCCACACCGGCCTATTCTCCCTCTTTCCATCACCCCGCCCCATTTCTCCTGCTTTCCATCAACCCCGCCCCATTCTCCCGCTTTCCAATCACCCCGCCCCATTTCTCCCGCTTTCTATCACCCCACCCCATTCTCCCTCTTGTCAATCACCCCGCCCCATTCCCCCTCTTTTCCATCACCCCGCACCATTCTCCCTCTTTCCATCACCCCGCCCCATTCTCCCTATTTCTATCACCCCGCCCCATTCTCCCTCGCTTTCCATCACCCCGCCCCATTCTCCCTCTTTCCATCACCCCGCCCCCATTCTCCCGCGTTCCATCACCTTGCCAAATTATCCCTATTTCCATCACCCCGCCCCATTCTTCCGCTTTCCATCACCCCGCCCCATTCTCCCGCTTTCCATCACCCCGCCCCATTCTTCCCGCTTTCCATCACCCGCCCCATTCTTGCGGAGATAACTAATACAACGGGAGCTAGACTACGGGCTAGGCACGGGTGCTCGTGTGATCTCTGCGTTCGTTGGTCCTTAGTCGTTTTCCTAGTGCATATACTGCTTGCTAGTTCAAGGGGTAATTTGCAAGAGTTTCACTAGAGAAAGTTGACAACAATGAGTACAATGAAGTTGGCAACACTAGACTACATCAGAGCAAACATCCAAGTCGGCCAACTGCCAGCGCAGCTTGGTCGACCGCGTTCCAGCACGACTAGGTCGACCGCGCTCCAGCAAGGTAAGGTCGACGGCGTGCCAACGTCGCAGGTTGACGGCGTGCCAGCGCTGCTCATGCAGAACAGCAGAGCACCCGCTTCGCAGGTGTGCGCAGATGATTGGCGTGCAGAGTCTCGTCACCTACACAGCGCACACACCACGTCAACCTCGAGCTGAAGACTGCCTCTGATCCGCCACGCGACCTCGGGATACCACCACGCGAGGTCGGGCTCGCCAACTTGGCCTGGGCGAACGTCGCACTCCTCCGCAGCACTTCGTCACCCAGGTAACCTGGTCGACCAGGCAACCAAGTCGACCAGCAGCTCCCCAACGTGCCCGTCAACCTCCCAAGTCGACGGCCACCTCCAGTCGACCTCACCAGGCCGACCACACTCTCGGTCGACGTCACTCCAAGTCGACCAGCTTCACGTCGACCAGTGCAGTTGTCCCGGTCCGACCACCCAAGTCGGCCTCCCGAGGTCGGCGTCACGAAGATGACGCCCCCGCTACTCGACGTCTCACGTGCTCGGCGTCGGCCCCTCCTTCGTCGACCACGTCCTCCGGAGGTCGACTCCCAAGTCGGACCTCCCTGAAGTCGGCGCCCATCCTGAAGTTGGCGCCCGTTGCAGTGACCCCCGTGCAGGTGGACCTCCTCGTCGACCAGCTCGCCCACTGCTGCAGGTCGGCTGCTCCCCTCACACCCGACCACGAAGTCGACTCCGCCCAAGCGAGGACTGGGGCCACCCCACAACCCCCGTTGACAATTCTGCCGCTTTCCATCACCCCGCCCCATTCTCCTGCTTTCCATCACCCCGCCCCATTCTTCCCGCTTTCCATCACCCCACCCCATTCTCCTGCTTTCCATCACCCCGCCCCATTCTCCCGCTTTCCATCACCCCGCCCCATTCTCCTGCTTTCCATTCACCCCGCCCCATTCTCCCGCTTTCCATCACCCCGCCCCATTCTCCCGCTTTCCATCACCTCGTCCCATTCTCCCTCTTTTCATCACCCCGCCCCATTCTCCCTCTTTCCAATCACCCTGCCCCATTCTCCCGCTTTCCATCACCCCGGCCCATTCTCCCTATATCCATCACCCGCCCCATTCTCCCACTATCCATCACCCCGCCCCATTCTCCCGCTTTCCATCACCCCGCCCATTGTCCCGCTTTCCATCCACCCCGCCCCATTCTCCCTCTTTCCATCACCCAGCCCCATTCCTCCCTCTTTCCATCACCCCGCCCCATTCTCCCTCTTTCCATCACCCCGCCCCCATTCTCCCTATTTCCATCACCCTGCCCCATTCTTCCACTTTCCATCACCCCGCCCCATTCTCCAGCTTTCCATCACCCCGCCCCATTCTCCCTATATCCATCACCCCGCCCCATTCTCCCACTTTCCATCACCCCGCCCCATTCTCCCGCTTTCCATCACCCCGCTCCATTGTCCCGCTTTCCATCACCCCCGCCCCATTCTCCCTCTTTCCCATCACCCCGCCCCATTCTCCCTCTTTCCATCACACCCCGCCCCATTCTCCCTCTTTCCATCACCCCGCCCCATTCTCCCTATTTCCATCACCCTGCCCCTTTCTTCCACTTTCCATCACCCCGCCCCATTCTCCAGCTTTCCATCACCCCCGCCCCATTCTCCCGCTTTTCCATCACCCCGCCCCATTCTCCCGCTTTCCATCACCCCAGCCCCATTCCCTCCGCTTTCCATCACCCCGCCCCATCTCCGCTTTCCATCACCCCGCCCCATTCTCCGCTTTCCATCACCCTGCCCTATTCTCCCGCTTTCCCATCACCCCGCCCCATTCTCCCTCTTTTCATCACCCCGCCCCCATTCTCCCTCTTTCCATCACCCCGCCCCATTCTCCCTCTTTCCATCACCCCCCCCATTCTCCCTATTTCCATCCACCCCTGCCCCATTCTCCCGCTTTCCATCACCCCGCCCCATTCTCCCTCTTTCCATCACCCCGCCCCATTCTCCCGCTTTCCATCACCCCGCCCCAGTTCTCCCTCTTTCCATCACCCCGCCCCATTCTCTCTCTTTCCATCACCCCGCCCCATTCTCCCTCTTTCCATCACCCCGCCCCATTCTCCCCTTTCCATCACCCCGCCCCATTCTCCCTATTTCCATCACCCCGCCCATTCTCCCGCTTTCCATCACCCCGCCCCATTCTCCAGCTTTCCATCACCCCGCCCCATTCTCCCCTTTTCCATCACCCCGCCCCATTCTCCCGCTTTCCATCACCCCGCCCCATTCTCCCGCTTTCCATCACCCGCCCCATTCTCCCTCTTTCCATCACCCGCCCCATTCTCCCGCTTTCCATCACCCCGCCCCATTCTCCCTCTTTCCATCACCCCGCCCCATTCTCCCGCTTT